ATGGACAACAGCAACTGTGAAGGAGCAAACCCAAGCAAAAGGGCAATCCCTGAAGGTGGTGTAAAGGCTAAGCATATGGCAGGCAGGTATCACCATGAGACAAGATTGTGGAAATCAGTGATTCCCAGCTAAGAGAGAGCAGGGAAGTGGTTTTACCTCTGAGAGGTAAATGGTTTTACCTCCCATGGGAGCTCCCTGTAGAAGTTTCTTGGCATTAGGCAAACGTTCCCTTATTTCCTCTCATAGTGGTCACAACTGGCACTATTTTCTCCCCCTTTTCCCATGTGCAAATGTTCCTTAAAATGAGTCTCAGTTCTCCATGGAATTACTGAAAATACAGGTACCAGAAAATCAGAGCTTTTCATTAGCAGTCAGTGTAACCCCACAAAAGTCACTTTCATTGTTACTTCACCCCATGTAATTACACAGCAAAGCCCCATTTAACATCTCACTACATAACAACAACTTTCTATTTCAAGTCAGATTAATGTAAGAGTTACCCAGCCATTTCAAGACATAATAGCTGTAATTAAGGTGTTTCTGGTGATGGGTTCCTATTATAAATGTGGCAGATGATTCTATGATAGTCTTGTTGGCTGCATTAGTCACAATTGTTTTCATTAATATTGACACTATTCTCTTACTACACAAGCAGAAAAGGAGATTTATAAAAATACTGTGCTGGTTTCCTGTGCTCTGAACCCCTCTTTTGGACTGATGCTCAATTTTTAGCTTTCAGTTGTAAGTTGTAAGATGTACAGGCAGCTTCATCCATGCTATTTAAAGCAATATTGTGAGAACAAAGGGAGAGAATTGTTTTACTGAAAATCTAAAAATAAAGCACTGATGAAACTTAGATGTTTATAAACATCTAATCTGGTTCCACTTTGGGTGTCAGTGATGTGACACTGCTGGAGTGTGTTCAGACTGGGGAATGAGGTAAGCATGTATATGTGGGTTCATTATTCTGGGGAAAAATTGCACAGACCAAGGGAAAACTGGCACATGAGAAATTTTGGATTGTGAAGCTGACTTAGGAAAATGGGGTCTCCAATGGCAGATCCTTATGATGATGGCTCAGGATGAACAAAATGTGTGTTGAGTTTCAAAATGATGGGAGAAAAGATTATGTTGCTATACCATCATTTCCAGCAAAACCAATATAGTAAAACTGGGGATGGATTTGGGTTAAAAAGCCTTATAAATTAATTTTTCATGGGTATCAGTTCTACCCAGCCAACTGAAGCTGTCAGAGTCAGCTTCTACTGAACAAAGTTGTCACGGAAATTCATCCAGAAAAAACTATATGTCAAGTGCCAAAAATGAGAAGGGCCAAGAGGAACAGGGAACATGACAGGAGTGAAGAGCATGATCTCATACAACTCCCAGTGAAAAGGGAAGCAAAGGAACAGCTTTTTTTTCTGAGGAAATTCACACATTGATTTACAGATCCAGCAGTATGGCAGTTAGACAAGCAAAGGAAGAAAATTATCCATAAAATGACATATTTGGGAGCACTGTGCATATTGACTACTATGCCTGAGTTGCTAAATGTGCTTTGGAAACACACCTGTGAAAATGATGAGTTAAAAATTGATTTCAGTAGATTTGCATACTGTAAAGAAATAGAAAACTGTGGACCCCTTAATTCAGGTTTTCTAGGGAAAAACATGAAAATACCAAGGGACGATTATATTTGAAAACATTTTCATTCACTTTCTACTTTCAAATTCTAGTTACCAAGGTGCAGGCTCCTAGATAAGGTGATATCTGCAAAATTTGTTGCTGTTTTCAAATATTTCATGCAAAACCATTCAATTTTTGTGTAACCATTCAAATGTGAAATATTATCTCATGTTTCGGCACATAAGAGTACATAGAAGTACCCTTCAAATTTGCAAAATGGGAAACAGCTATGTTTTATCAAAGATGTATTGCCCAGCTGTATATCTACAGTAAATTAAAAGGCTGAAACCACCAGAGCCTGAGACAGAAGGATGTTATAGACCATTCATTATTGAAGAGCAAATAATAATTAAAAAAATCCCAAAAAAATCTCTGCCAGCAAGGAACATGTCTTCTCTACAGGAAGTCTCAAAATGTCTGTCTCCTGCCATAACATTGACTTTTAGAGGCTCGAAGGTTATAAGACCATGTCTTGCTAGTAATTGCCTTGCTGACCTTTGTAATGTGGGCTCAAATCTCACTGCAGCTGACATTTTGTTTTGTTTACAGGGGATCTGCAGCTCACTAAAGCTGTAGTCCCACTGGGATATGGCTCTTCCCTATGCCTTGCAAACAAGACAGTGTGTATGTCTGTTTTCCTGCTCTCTAGTTTCTCTCTGGAGACAAATACACACACACACACACACACACACACAAAAAAAACCAAAAAAACTCATAGGAATGGCAAACTAACTAACTAAAAAACATAATAAAAAATCACTCTAAATTTACTACCCTTTTCACCCATGATCCCCCATTACTTTTTGTTAATGTTTTGTAAAATGCTCTTTTAAACTCACAGAAGACTATGTGCTCACTTATTTAAAGCTAATAAAACTGACTGTGTGAAGGCTTTGGCAAAACCAGTATTTTTTTAAAAAATACAAGATTTGTACAAAAGAAGCAAAATACATTGTGACACCGACATATCAAATCCATTACTGCTCAGTGTCTGTTGAACAAAAGCTATTGACTGTAGAGGATATGGAAAGCATAAGATTTCAATAAAGAGGAAGCATTTGTTGCATAATTCTTGAAATGAGGGCTGTGGTTGTACACAGTCTTTAAAAAAGGTTTTCATTTTAGGTTAAAAGTTACTGTATTTTTGGTAAGGCAGGGCAGGATATTCTTGAAAATATACTTTCATACATAAGAAAAAATTCTACTGATATGAATAGGATTAAACAGATGTGAAGCATAATGGACCTGCCATCACTGAAATCTACAATCAGCAAAAAGATTCTACATTTATGTGTGGATATATGTTGTAGGGAATGGCACAGAAATTGCTTCCATGTTCAAGGTGATAAAAACTGCAGTTTAAGAAAATATTAATAACAATAAGAATGATATAAAGACTGAAGGAAGAGAGAGAAAGAGAAGAATATACTGAAAGGTGTAATTATTTAGGCTGGTCATCACATTGTATTTGAGGTACAATAAAACCATGGTTGGTGATGTGCCCTGCTAAATTTGTTACAAGCTGTTCAAAGATGAAGATAAAGCATGCCTGATAAACAGTGGTGTGAGATTGCATTGTGTGGGATTTCTCTGCTGGCTTCCTATCCATGGCCCAGCACTCCTGACCACAGCTCTTCCATTAGAGGGGCCTGAGCACCCATGAGTAAAACTGCATCCCTGCTGGCTTAGGGAGCTGCTGCTAAGGCTTCATTCCTTGTTTATAGCTTTTCACAACCATTGTAAAGCTCTGTTATTGTGGTTGTGGTTTGTGTTACTATCTAGGTGATAAAAAGCCAAATAGGATGTGATGTGTTTCAGAGTTTAAAGCCCTAGTTCCATGCCAGGGTTAAATACACACTTACCACCTGTTCTGTCTGTGAGCTTTTAATCAATAAAAATAGAAAATGAGCATATGCCTTAAGCTGAATATGTTCTTAAGAGCTTTATGTAATCAGTGTTTCCATGCCTATTCGTGTTGATTGAGGGTAATTTCTGATTAATTTTTCTAAAACCAGGTATAAAGGGAGAGTTTCATTGTGCTGCCTTGTGCATAAAACATAACTGGAAAGCCCCTCATAGTGTCAAGTCTGGGTCTGTCATCTGTAGGAGACAGAAATGGTGAAATGGGAGGGAGTTTTGCCAACAGCACTTCCTCAACAATTTTCTCTCCAGAAATGAAGAAATAATTATTTGGGTAAGAAAGACAGTATAGGTACAGCACTTTCTGAATATTCAAGTCAAAGCCTTGGAGTAATGGAAATATGTGGCACAAAGGCTGCCACTAGCCTCCAGGATTACACTCGTGGCCCAGGAGTGATGGGAAGCTTTAACAAGTATCTACTGACTCTACTACTCTACTACTAAGTTAATGTTAGATACTAGAAAAAGCTTTTTACTGTAAGGGTGGTGAGACACTGGCACAGGTTGCCCAGGGGTAGGTGGCCTGCCCTGACCCTGGTGGTATTCAAGGCCAGACTGAATGTGACCTTGAGCAACCTGATCTAGTGAGGAGGTGTCCCTGCCCTGGGACTAGATGATATGTAAGGTCCATTCCAATCCTTAAATTCTATGATCCTATGACTCTTACAGATTAAAATAAAGCATATGCAGGAGCTTTGCTCTCATCAGGCTTCTGTCCTTCCTGTTTTCCAGTTTATGGAAACCTTGCATATTATTTCAGCTCAGGTCAGAAGAAATGTGTCCTCCAGAAGTGATGTTACTCTGTGGCTTCATCCTGAAGGTGACATGATTTTCCTGTGTGTGTGGGTTCCCCATGGGAAGGATCTACCATGTTTCACTGCCTGGTGGATTTAAACCTCACAGCTGATAGGCACCGCAAAACCTCTTGCCATTTGATGCACGTTCTATAAAAAGGCTACTATGTACATACAGTCAGCCAGCCTGAGGTGGATGGCTTTCTGTACACAACACATAAACTTGCATCTCACTGAATTTCTATAATTGTCATCTTTATTTCTGCACATATACACCATTATTTTAAATGCACAAAGCACAACTCTCACCAAAGTAGTGACTTCACACATAAAAGGTGACCTTCAGAGACACATAGTAGCTGTGGTCTGACAGCACTGATGGGACTTTTTTTGAGGAGATGCTTGTACTTATCCCAGGGGATGGGCAGAGGACAGGAGAACAGCAAACCCTTTTACAGGCAGCTGGTCTGCTGGTGGGCAGAGACATTGCTAAGGGAACCCACAAGTGGCAGCAGTGAGCGAACACCACAAAGGAGTTGGTGGAGCAAGGAGGCCCTCCATGCAAATCCCACTCCCCAGCACAGCAGTGCAGTGCCCTGGCTCCCCACCACTCACACAGCAGCATGGACACACTTCTACAAAAAGCAGCAGGCAAATCACAATGGAAACATAACCACAAGAACTTTCCCAGTTATGGGTTAATTTTCAGCCCGAGACACAAAGCTAGTTCAGATTTCTGAATTTTCCCATCCTTGTTCACATCACAGTGGTTGAGCAGGATCTGGCGGAACTTGTCCAGGTCCACCCCACTAATGCTGGGCTGCAGGGAAAAGAGAAAAACAGTGCTGAGAGAGATAATGGCTCTGAATTTCCCCAGTTCTGTAAAGCAGCAGGCCATGCAGCAAGTGGGAAATCCACCCAAGGAGGAGTGACCAAATGGCCACACATTTCATATGCAGTGGGGATGCAAACAGAGGATGGGGAAAGGGTGCCTTGCAAAAGCAGAATGGATATGAGACTGCGAGTAACTGTATGGAAATGCACCATGACTTTTATTCTTAGTCGAAGCAAACAGTAACTGATCAATATCAAAGAAAGTTCTGCAGAAAGATATGCAACACAGATCGTTGCATTGCCAGACCTGTGCTTTCATCTGGTTTCCTCTCTCAAACCTGCTGCACAAGGAGTGATGTGGAATTTCTGTCAGCAGACTTCTATTTTATGGGCTGCTCAGCAACATAAATACACCCTTAGTGGATCAAATTAATGCTAAAGACACGTTTTACAGGCTACGCTGTATCTGTATGCTCCTAATGCTGTACCATTCGCTCTGCTTCCCACATTCTCAGGAGGAGATCAAATTCACATGCACAGCTTGTGGTGTCCAAGGACAATGCTGATGAAGGCCCTTGGGGAGAGTACAAACTTCCCTCCTTTGCACACACATGCACACAGAACAAAACCTGTCCCTCCACCCTTCCCTGCACACCACATAGTCATAGCATATGCATTCACCCATCAACATGAATCTGCTGTTCTCTGCTCTCTGCTGAATGGACATGGGAGCACAGACATCCCTATGCCAGGTCACATTGTGTGGAAATGCAACAGCTCAGGCTCAGAGGAAGCCAAAGACCAGACTCTAGTTGGGTCAAAAGCTCTATCTTAGACTGCATCTGAAACTCAAGACAATCCCATGCAGATGGACTCTGCTGGACATTAGAAACTGAAGTGACACACTAGGTACAGTAGTCTTGACTAGAAACAGACCTCAAGTAATTTTCAAGTGTGGCCCTGAGATGAACTAGTGAGCCATAAGGTCATTCTGGCAAGAATCACATCCAGAGGGAAAACACAGGAAATAAATTCTGAAGACTGATCCATGTCAACACAGTTTGTCATGCTCTAACATCTGCCTAATTCAGAGTATGAGATAGAATGGACCTGTCTAAAATGCAGCTGCTGAGGGAAGCTGTATTAATATGTCAGGCAGAATTTCTGTGATATGGTGAAGTGCTATACAGTGTATATGCAGAGGCTGTGACATTCCCTTCTGCTGCTGAACATGAAACGTTCCTACTAGTCTCTCTACATGAGTAACATTTCCAAAACAAGCACTGAACTTTCAAAAAACAGAGCCATGAAGATACCTTGACCAGTTCCATCATGTCTTTGACAAAGCCATCCACTTCTGGTCCTTCAAGTGCTCCTGTGTTACTCTGAAAGATGGAATAAACATTGAAACTTCCTAGTGAGTCAAAAACACTACAATGTTTACTGGTCAGTATGTCCACCTGGTGACTGAGCTTTATAGCATAAAGCACATAGAATCATAAAAAGGCTTGGGTTGGAAGGGACCTTAAAGATCATCTACTTCCAACTGCCCCACCATGCACAGGACACCTTCCACTGGACCAGGTTGCTCAAAGCCCCATCAAACCTGGCCTTGAGCACTTCCAGGGCTTCTCTGGGCAACCTGTTCCAGTGCCTCACTACCCTCACAGTAAATAATTTATTCCTAATATCTAAGATCCTTTTCCCCAAACCATCTCTTCCCCTCAACATCTCTCACCATTTTGGAAGGCTTGTCACCACCCTGAGGGAGTTGTGTGACTATCAGAAGGGGCACTGAGTTGCTGATGTCTAACAGGCAGTTAGGTGGTCATGTCTGTCCTGGTCCAGGCTCTCTAAATAACCACTGGTTCAGCACTGGAAGGGAGTTTATATTTCAGAGTGGTGGTGATGCAGGTCCCAATGCCAGAAACTGTGAGTGTTAAAGCCACCACCTCCTCTATATCACTTTCATCTCCTGAAGGGATACTGCTAATGAAGCAGCACTGGCCATGGCAATGAAGAATGTCAAAACAGGTCATTGCCAAAAGGTCTCTGAGCATCATTCTTGTCTGCCCCTACTTTACCCCTCCCAGTCTGACATTTGGGCTCATGGGCCATGGGCTTGGGCACTCAGGCACATGGGCTGCTCCTGAGTGACCCCAGCAGCACTCAGCAAGAGGAAGAAGTCTGAGCAGCACATGCTAAATCTGTGTCTTTTACAGACCACAAGGGAATGAATGGTCACTGGGACTCACAACGTCGTAGTGTGCAAAGATCTTCTCAAAATCTCTCTTCCTTTCTTCTGTGCTGCAAGCCTGGATGTGGAGAAGGTAAGCCAATGAAAAATTTTTTACAAAGTAAATTTCAAATTTGGGCCCAGGTTATCTTAACTGAGAGTGATCAGTGTACCAAAAAATAATGCTACTTACATCCATTTTAAATTGAAGAAGGAAATTTTCCTGGAGTGCGAGAATCCTGAATGGAGAGATTTAAATTATGATCTTTCCACTTTATCATCTGCACACAAACTATTCTGAATTCTCCTTATTTGTAAAGCAAAGGGATTTTAGATTATAGGCCTTTAAAAGAGAAAATTGCCTGCAGAGTTATTTACAGAGGGCTGCTGTGGGAACACATGCTCTCCTCCCTGTCTGATAGGGCATGGTGGGTGCCCTTTGGCTCGCCACAAACATGCTTCTTAGCACCACTGCTTCTCCCAGAGCATTTCTGGTGGTCCAGTGCAATAGAGATTGTCAGCCTCCAAAGCAAGAGCTACCAGACAATTATTCCTCGTAACTGGATTGCTGTGCTGCATTAAACAAAGGAGTGACTGATCACTCTCTGTTGGAGGGAGAATTGGTGGTTGTAAAAGTAAAGGACAATGTAGTATTTGCCTGTGCACTGAGACTGGCTGAATTCCTCTCCTTTTGTGTCGTAAAGCCCCTCAAGCACTGATATAACCTTTTCTCTCTCCAGGTGCTCTGCAAACCCTTGGGTTCTTCGAGCCCATGACATAGAGCACATTGAGCTGTGTCTGCACACAGAGGGGTTTGGAGTGTGAGAAATGTTCTCAGACTGGAGGGGAGCCCTAGATGACCTGGTTCCCAGTAGGGAACCATGTTTAAGAGGAAATTGCAACAGCAACCCCCCTTAGATATTCTCCATTGTGCCTCTAATTCTGTTCATATATTTTGTGGTCAAAAGGAACTGCTGTAAGCTCTGCAGCTATGTGTCATGGCATTCATCATGATCCCAAGCAGAAAGTAACAGTGGCAAACCTCTTTCCTCTCATCCTCTAAACTGGTGTTTTAAGACTGTACTTGCAAGTTCAAAGTCCTATCCAATCAATGCACATGCATCTACAGAGAAAGGTATACTCTCTATCTGTAGTCAGTTAAAATCATCTAAAAGCCTCTATGGTATCAAGAGCAGAAAAGAGACAGAGGCCCATGACTGAGTTCCCAGCTTCATTCACAAGCATCTTCACCTTGGCTCTCCAAATTCTTTCTTACTACCACTGCCAAACTCCTGTGACGTGGCAGTTTTTTACTCAACACAGCAGCAAAAATTCTTTGCTATCCCTGCTGCACATTATGATGTGAAATAAATGCATGTCTGGGACTCTGCTGAAGGTATTGCCATCTTTCTTTAGGAGAAACAGTGCCACTGGTTGCTTTGTCACCTCCTGGGGAGCATCACAGAGGTTGCAGGGATCATGCCAGAGCATGTTGGTGTTGTACATTGCTCCTGTCACTGGCTCTAGATTCTCAGACTATTGTAATGAGGACTATGCATTGGAGAGATGGGAACAGAGCTGATTTAACTTGAAAGGAGTTTAATTCAAATGCACATCCCCAGAGGGAGGTCATCACCTTGCCTGGATCTGCCATTGTGAGCTGAAAAACCCCAACAATGTTATTAAAGCCTACCTTGCCAGGTCATTCAGGTCCAACCGTCCATCCTTATTTTTGTCAAAGATTTTCATCTATAAATCAGTAAGAGATAAAATAGAAAGACCATGAGGAGAACACACATACAAAAAAGCCAATCTGCATTTTGCTCTGCCTTGTGCCCTCACCTCTGCTTGCTTGGGGTGCTTCCCCAGGCATCCTGTGCTAGCACCAAGTGCAAGGGTGGCACAAGAGCATAGCTAAACCTTCTGGCTTTCTGACAACAACAACTCAAAGCAATCAAATACCAACACTGCTCCCTTCCCATCTTACAAGGGGATAAAAGGCAGGTCTGCAGCAAACACCCAAAGACACTAAATACTGGCCTTGCCATGGCCCTGGGAAAAAAATGCTGAAAAAGGGGAAACTTCTCAACACTTCCAGCCTGTCTCCATCCTTATCTTTGACTGTTGCTGTGGCTACTAAGCAGCTGAAATACAAGTGTTACCTTCTGACTGACACTCAGGCCAGGATTTTACACCACTAAATCTGTGGAGTTTGCCTGGCTCAAAACCTGCCATCAGAAAGCACTAAGACTGGAAAGAAGGTTGAGGCTGCCAAAGTCAAGAGGTTAATCTGTGTGAATTCAAAACTTATCCTTTCCTTAAGATTACATTTTCCATGATACCATCATGTCGATGAGTCACCACCAAAAATATTTATTTATTTGTTGTATTTGGTTCTGTGTTTCACTTCAAGGCACAAAAAAAGAAGAGTCTGTTACAAGGAAAGGGGAGGGGGATGTTTAACGAGCTGCAAACCTGAATAACTCATGGCTCAAAGTTTTAGAAACAAATGTATTCCACATTGTAGCAGGCTGGGGTGAAGATGAATATTTTACTATGACAGGTTGCCTTTCTTTGTGAAATGCTCAAACTAAGAAATATGCATTAATCTTGTGTTGATCTCATTTGATTGCTTAGTGGTTGTGCAGAGTAACCAGTTCACTACAGATCTTTTGTGCAATTGCACACCTGCTAGACAAGGCCAGTACCAGTCCCCATCTCACAATGCTTAGCGAGGCAGGATCATCTGCTATGACACAGCCTGATCGTGTGGGAACCAGCAGCATGTCCTGAGCATTTCCCAGCAGTGGCACTGTGGCAGAGACTGACACTTGTGTGAGGATAGGTAGCACCTGGAGAGCTGCCATTTCTCAGGGAAACCTTGCCTATTTTGTCAGTGCTGCCTCCTCCCAGCCCCTTGCTCGAGGGCAGGCAGCTACGCTGAGGACAGCAAGTCTATGGAAACCCTTTATTGTGCTGTGTTTAGATTGGGATTCTGCAACAGGGTTGTATCCCATTAATTATTCTGAGTTATTAAACTACTGAGGTTTGGATGGGATTCTTGAAGAGACACTTGATTTAGGCTCACTTTTCCTCACACTGAAATACAGTATAACACTCCTATGAATGACTGAAGGCTCATAATGAGATATTTGGAAAAATGACATCCTGAGAGCCATTTTCCCATTTAACTGGCCTCTGCCAAACATGTGATCTGTGTAGTCACTAAATAACAGAAGAGACTTCTGAATCTTCCTTTGCTCTAGAGCTGGAGAGATGAATAAACCTGCCAAGCCATCCTGAGGACTTCTCTCTGGTTTCATCAGTCCAAGCTGCCCCTCTCCAGCTGAACTTATTGCATCCTCCTTCCTGTCCCATCAGTTCTCCCACTGCAATATGTAACATTTCCCTGATCTCTGCTGGTGCTGCAATGGGGCAATGCTGAAGGAAGGGGTGGGAGCAGAAGATGTCTTTGCCAGTACCACCAAGGGGAGAAATGTCCTTGCAGTGACAGCCTTCCACTGCCTCAGAGAGATAAGTCTGAACCTTCAGTCTCCAGCTGATAAAGGAGCTATTTTGCAAGCCACAGAATATGATTAATGTTATTTCTGGAAATAAATTATCCCAGATAAGATTTTCAAAGCCTCTCTCCAAATGGAACATCAGTGGCTAACCTGGTCTTGTTTGCTGTGTGAGGAGAGAGGGAGATGATACCATTATTAGTTCACTTCTGCAGACTCTCCACCACAGGTGGCCTTGCAACATCCAGCTTACACCACTACTCTGAAAAATACTCTCTAAAGGAAGCTTATGGAGACAACTGCCAGAGAAAGTACTAACATGGATTAGTGGGAATACCAGAGTCCCTAGGCTCTACAGTAGATCAATTGTTTTTGACAATATGTCACTCTAAATCCCTCCATTTAGGCCACCAAGGGGCATTAGGTACCCACATGGTCTGTGGGAACTCAACATAAAGCAGCACAGCTGGCATGGTGGGAGAGGACAGCTCTCAGAGACTTTGCTGCCAGAGCAGGACAGCTCAGGCTGAAAGTACTGGTCTTTTCACAAAAAGATACAGTGTCCTTACCGAAACACATGAAAACTTACTGCCTTTAGCACTCTTTGAACTTCTCTCAGATTCTCCTGTGCATTTTTGAGCTCCTGAAAGTGTGTTTTATTTTCTCCCATTCTCTGTGCATCTCAGAATCACTCTCTTGAGAATAAAAGCCAGTGCTTCAGCCTAGACTTCGAATTCAGATGTATTCTTCCCTCTGTGAAGCCTCAGGAAACAAACACACAGAGCTTTTGGGAGAAGTTCAGCTCTGTGACTACAACGTCCTGACCTCCATATGATCTCGCTGATAAACACCTATAAATGCCAACCATGGTGGCATCTTATGGGACCAGGACAGATCTGGTGGTTGCCTAACCAAGAGGCAGACTTGGGGCCCACATTTCATTTCACATAGGCCTGTCTGAGACAAGCCACAAGTGCCTTTTCCCATGAAACATCTCAAGCCTCATCTCCTTTTCCACAGAATAAAAAAATAAACAGCGTAGCTGTTCTTGCCTTGGGACTTTGGATGTCCTGCCTGCCCTGCATCTGCTCTAATTTGTGGGTGCAGCATGTTTTCACCATTTCAGAAGGTGCAAATAGCTGGGAGGCTGAAGAGCTTTGTCTAACCTTAATGAAACAGGATAGATTAGAGGTGGTAGTTTAGATGTAAAAGTCTTTTTGCTTGATTAACAGTTTTGTGAGCTGGTGGTTTTCAACCCTCCCATTTCTGAACCCTTTACAATATTCTCGCAGTAGCGCAGACCCCATTAAAGCACGCTTAACTGCAGAGGCATTACTTTCCTTAGTGGAACACTTTATGAAAGGCAACATGCCCAGTCAAATTGCTTCTCTTGCACCCTGTCTTTGAGCTTGACATTAAACTTTCAGTGACTGACCATGGCTACTTACAGCTAAGCCACTTGTCTCCCCTCCATCCTTCACTCAGCTCTGCTTTTGCAATAGCAAGAGAGAATCCTGTGTTTTCTAATTGTTTGGCCTTTTTCTGCAACAAGTAGCCTGAAAAACATTTTCAGACATATGCAATATTTTGATTATCTATACTAGTCATCAGAGAGAACATAGAAGTTAGGCTGAAAGAGCTAATTCTTGCCCAGTGACTCACACATGAAAGATGGAAAATGTGCAGGGAAATGGTCTAGTGTTCCCTAAAATTAGTTCAGCTACCACAGCTAAAAAGATAGACCTAGTCCTGTTATCTGGACAACTGGAGCTCATGCATACCTACTACATGGCAATCTCATGCCATATTACTTGGGGGAAAGCCTGGGGAAATGTTTTTTAATTACACTTTCAAATTTCAAGCCTGTGTTTGATCTGATCTGCTAATTGTGTGCATAAGTACACAAAGTTTGACAGAGGGTACCTACCCCATGTGACAAAGTGTATATCATAGAAGAAGCAGATAATTGAAATTATTATGAGATTGTTTCTAATTTAAGCTTTTGCCTTCACCCACCGTCTTGATATGTTAAACTTGATGGATTTTCAGTTTGCACTCTTGAAAGGTATATTTACGCTGCCAGGCTGATACGAAACATCTCAATGTGGTTAAGGACAAGGTCTGGCATGTTTAAATAGCACTCCATTTTCCTAAAAGCTTTGTTGCATCTAGCAGTATGCTTTATAAAATGACGCATTTATTTTACTGTCAAGCCACCCTGTGTTTTAAAGTGTTTGCACAAATTAATTCACTGACATTTTAATGGCAGTGCACCAGTGGCATTTCAGTTCTGTTTGTCTGAATGTAGTCCATGCACTCTGAGGCAGACAGGGAATATATAAGAGCTCAGTTTGCAAAACAAGAGTGTTATATCTCCATTTTTTATAAGTGCAAAATCAAAATTGCAATTGGCTTTTAATTCAGCAAAGGAAATATCTCTGCTTTCCCAGTCCAGTGTTGAAAAGGCCACTGAAACACCACAATATGGCAAACACACACACACACAAACTTTGAAGAGCAATATAAGATTATAAATCTGAATTATTTTCCATGATGGAGATAAGGAAAGAAGTAAACCACCAAACTAAATAGTTCTAGGATCAGTGGACTCACTAAAACCTGCTTTTATACCTTCTCTGGTTCTGGTTCTTTGTGTGTAATAAAGTGGGACATTGAAAGAGTCAGGTCCTGCTTGACTTCCTACTCTCACAAATATATACACTGTGGACACCTATGCTCAACAGCTGTAACTAAAGTTGGTTAGTGAGTACAAAGGTTATTGAGAGTGTGTAAAGAGAGGCATGTGCTCAAGCTCCAGGACTGCCTATGCCTCTTTCCTTAGGAAAGGGCATGGGCACAAAGGCTTTTGCAGAGTGACATAAGGGCCCTGTGTGTTACCTTCAGTGCCCAACCAGATTGTGTGTCATCTAGACAAGTCATTTAGTGCAGGTTCCTAAAAGACCAAGGCATTATCTGCTGGGGTTTTCAAAGAAAGCAGGCTCCTGAGTTCTCTTGGGTTTGATCTTCAAAAATGAAGTTTGAGCTTAAATACAATTTTCTGCATCCCCTGACTTATGGCACAACAAATGTAGTGCAAAACTGGAGGTGACAGCACCACTGAGATAAAGTCTAGAACGGACATAGGAGATAGATTTGCCTCTGTTGTGTTCATCAACAGTGTGGGTCCTTCTTTATCACAGACAGCAATGCAACAAGAGGAATCACACCTACACAAATGAGG